ACAAATCCATAACGGTTTAAATACTTTTCACATTCAATGCCCAACATTGGCGTCCTTTCTCTGCACGACCGCATCATACCAAAAGACGTTAAAATATGGTACTTGTTGGTCCCTGCCTGGCGCTCGGCATTAATGGGTACAACAAGGACTGGTCGGCTCGGAGTCAGTATACTGTGTCTGAGTGGGGTATTCATACTTCACTGCGGCATGGTATCTCAGTGGGCTAGCACGATAAAACCAGCTGAAGTCTGGGCTAGTACAAGCAGCCGCACATACACATGCACACGCATGCACGTCGTCATATGAGCGAAATATTTTCAAGCACGACGTTAAACGCAATTTCAGCTCACCTCACCTTTCTCTGCAATGCTATATTGATATTCATATACTTTCTTCAAGATGACATTATCATCTTGGGAGATAAATCTAGTCCAATATTTAACAATTTTACAATACATATTTACGTTTAATGAGTGTCTACCAAGTTCAGCACGGGCAAAGATATTTGGGGTATTTGAACTTGTTTACAAAAATTGTCGTGAATATTCATAACGTTAGGTGATGTGTGAAAGCCCCATACTTCACTGCCATATAACAGAATTGGTAGAATTTTCACATCAAATATTTGAAACAAGACATGTACAGGTAGGTTAGAAAAATTAGGTATTGAGGATCTAAGTATAGATAGAACTTTCCATGCCTGTTCGGCCAAAACGTTTTGAGTGATATACCATGAGCCTGAGCTTGACAGATGAACCCCAAGACAATTTCTAAGTTGTTATTGTTAAGAAGAACTTTTCACATTTCTTTAATCTGCCACCTTTTCTAAAAACAATTATCTTACTCTTGGTTACATTAATTTTAAGTTTCCATTGGTCACAATATGTAACTAACTTATCTAATCTCTTTTGTAAACCACAGACTGAAAAACCAAAAAGTACAATATCGTCGGCAAAAAGGAATATGAATAGTTCAATAACTTCTAGATTTATACATCTCTGATTATCTAATGCTAGGCTTTCAACAATATCATTCACGAAGAATGAAAATAGAAAAGGAGATAGTTGGCATCCTTGATGGACGCCATGAGAACAATCGAAGAAGGCTGTAAAACCATCGTTCATGGAAACACATGATTTAACAGAAACATACATGCTTTTAAGCAATCTAAATGTTTTACCTTTAACGTTTTCCATCAACAGTTTATGAAAAGGCTATTCCTATCAACAGAATCAAACTCATCTTTCAGGTCAATAAAAGCACAGTATAGTCTCCCTTTATGCAGTGAAAGGTACCTCTGAATGATTGAGTTAAGTATAAATATATTATTGTGTGTTTGGAATCAATGTCTGAAGCCTGCCTGTTCTGGGGTGAGAAATTCAGTTACTTACTATTGGTCATCATCAAGACATATTTTTCTCATTTAATTTCCAGTATATTTACTATTTAAAGAGTTCACTCTGAAATTAACGTTTTAGTGACAATGACTGGTGTAATGGATGGAGCGTCTGCCAGGAGAGCGGAAGATCAGAGGTTCGACCCCCGGTCGTGTCGTACCAATAGTGAGTGAGTTTAGTTTTACGCCGCAGTTTGTATATAATTGAGTCTGGACCAGACAATCTAGTGATCAACAGCATGAGCATCGATCTGCGCAATTGGGAACCGATGACATGTGTCAACCAAGCCAGCGAGCCTGACCACCCGATCCCGTTAGTCGCCTCTTACGACAAGCATGGGTTACTGAAGGTTCATTCTAACCCGGACCTTCACCAATAGACGTTAAAAGAAGCTACTTGTTGTTACCCTGCCTAGCGCTGTGCATGTAGGGGGGTAAAACAAGGACTGGTCGACTCGGTGGCAGTGTACCTGTCTGAGTGGGTAGCCCTGTTACATTAAAGCGCCTCATGGTATCCCGGGGGGCTGGCTACCGGCAAAAGTCCGGACTAGTACAAGCTGTACACCCGTCTCTAAATAAGTGATACCCTACTCCATTATTTAATTCTCTAGTTATTTAAAACATTTTTGTTTCTCGTTTATCATATCATTGATTCGCTCCCACACAGATTCCGGAGGTGAAAACAATATGTGACGTACGTGACGTCTTATTGGACGGATATTCCACAACAACAGAACAAGAAGATGTGTCACGGAGATACGCTTTGAGTGAGTGAGTTTAGTTTTACGCCGCTCTTAGCAATATTCCAGCAATATCACGGCGGGACCACCAGAAATGGGCTTCACACATTGTACCCATGTGGTGAATCGAACCCGGGTCGTCGGCATGACGAGCGAACGCTTTAACCACTAGGCTACCCCACCGCCCCAGATGCGCGTCGAAGCTGAGTGGAGCCCTTAATTTGGTGGTAGCAGTAGATTATCAATAAACACTCTGGCTTTCAAATACATAAGCCATCTTACTCCCCGTCATCAGTCTGGATACATGACTTTCTGGTGCCACTTCATGTGCGAATATTAGAAAATCCCACCCTACTTAAAACCCTGTTCATGTTGCCCGGGCAACCTAATCTGGAGCGACGTTTTGGACGTTACATAGAGTGTCTCATATTGGATTAGAGAAGGAAATATGTTATTATCATGTTAATGAAAATATGGCGTCTGACAGTTAGTGACGGGATATCACATTCAGGATATTTGATAACACAATGGGTGGGAACTGAATAGCAACGGAAATTTATAATAACAATGACTTGGTATCAATGTCACAATGTTACATTATAATAATTAATAAAATATCATTCTATTTCGATGGTGTGGCCTCCACAATGTTTAGATTTGAAGTATTGATATACAGTCGAGCACCGTTGTCTCGGTATTCATTGGATTCTCAGTATGTGTTGATTCGAAACTATAATCCGTTATCAGCAGTGTTTCGTCGTAACACTGAGAACTTCCTAATTAATTCCTTCTTAATTGATTATAATTAAATAACAACCCAAGTGACACCTTCAACTCAATTAGCCCTAATTACCAGTAGTTTACACTACCGCATCCCATTGATTCATGCCGCACCGTGTGTAAACGTGTGGAAAGAACCTCAGTTCAGAGGGATACTTGCGCATGAAAGGAAGGTGAATATAGAGTTTCTTTGCAAATATCGAGTTAAAAGGGGACCATGAAATTATATCGAGATATCCGAAATATCGAGAAATATCAATACCTAAAAGAGAGTTAAAAGAGCTTGAATAATGATAAATTATGAAGGATTTTGCCGGGACCGAGATGTTGTATCGAGACAACCGAGATATCGAGTTATCAGAGTTCGACACAACGGTGCTCGACTGTATAACACCTGGAACGCAAGAATTCGAGCGAAAACTATTTGAGCGACGAGTATATGTCAGTTAAATTTTAAAACAGGACTGAAGTGAAGGTTGTTATTTACACCACTAAATCTGTAATCGTGCCGCGTGTCACGGAGTGAGTGAGTGAGTATGGTTTTATTCCGCTTTTACAATATCCTAGCAACATTACGCTCGTGACAACATAAATGCCCTTGATATCGTTACCCTCTGGGGAATCTCGGGTTTTCGGCGTGACGAGCGAACGGTGTAACCACTCGTCAACCTCACAGGCCCTTACTTTAAGTTTTGTGCATGAGCGTCTAGGCAAAGAAAGAAACTGTTTGAATCACCGTCAGGTTTAAGAATTGATATCATCTCAATGAATGGCTAGCTGAAGGTTGGTTTCGGTATACCCGTTGTTCGTCGGTTACATTTCTTGGTTTCTGTTGTTGTTTTTTGTTCTCTGACCTTTATTTTGAAACATGGAAAGTCAACACAGATGAACCAGATGACATGTTGATGTTGCATTTATAATAACATATAGTAAATGAAAGGTAACTTGCTCATCATCTAAATTACTGTCTTCTCGCGTACTCACGTCACGCTATCCCGAGATCGGAACATTGTGTGGTTCGCTAATTTGTGAGTGGGCGCGGAGAGTCATTGGATGGGTGACCGTGTTTGGCAGTTTGACTCCTGAGAGTTTCTAGGAGTTCAGTCGGGCCCCACAACGAAGCACATGTGATACATGTGGTCTCATCTCAAGCAAGTGAGTTTGCTCAAAATTGCCTCTGTTCACCCAGTAGAAAATGGGTACCCGGTGGGGTAAGTCATGTTCCTATTAACCTTCTAGCGCCTCACAGGGAGCTTGGATTATCCAGGGTAATATTAATCAGATATATTAGCAGGATAGGAAGCCTGGAAAGGCGCGTTATAAATATTCTACATTATTAATAGATGTGATTGTAAAATGCGTTCAGAAATATTTGAGGGGGTGGGGAACGCTGGGAATGTGTCCGACAAATTGTACCCATGTGGGGAATCGAACCCGGGTCGTCATGGTGTCAAGTGAACGCGAAACCACTAGGCTACCACAAGAACTTAATGTGTAATGTTCACGTAGAGACAAATTGTTTGATTCAACCCTGCTAATATAAATTGTGATTTGATGGTAAAATTAACATTTACTGATACACACTACAAATGGTCGCATTATTAGTGATTAGTTTCAGTTCATAAAGTGTGTAATTCATTAATACCCACATGGAACCATTAGTGGTTGAATGAGTACCTTCCATTCAATATCATCATGGAAAATATGTGTAATATATTCAGGAATGATATATGTGGCAGGCATTCTTACGTCATGTGCTGAAAAAAGTCCAAAGTGCTACCAAGACCAGTCATCCCGGTCAGATGATTGAAGGGGGCAAATAAATAAATAAATAAATAAATAAATAAATAAAATAAATAAATAAATAAATAAATAAATAAATAAATAAATAAATAAATAAATAAATAAATAAATAAATAAATAAATAAATAAATAAATAAATAAATAAATAAATAAATATACTTGTTAATCAAGATCAAGGTCAGAATGGGCGCATTGTATGTGTACACTCATCTTGATACACTTCACTGCTAAAAGACAATAGGTTTTTAATGATACTTCACCAAACAGTCAGAATCTCTTACCTTTTTCTTGATTGGTCGTTTCACAACGTTGACCTTACGCTTTGGTGCGTTGTTTGGCCGAGCGAGTACATTAAAAACGTGTTTTGGCACCGCAGGCTTGACCTTCAGAGATCTTGGCGTTACAACAGCGTCAACTTCCGGTGACGTTAACGTCTTTTCTCGGTGTTTGGCTTTAATCGTGACTTCAGTGTCCGTAGCATGGCCTCCCCGTTTAAAAGGGGAATTTCGTCGTCGCGGCTTAGTCCTTTGTGGAAATTTGATCTCATCGTCGCTCGAGTTGTCGTTAATTCCAGACGTTCGTCTGTCGTTCAGCAAAGACTCGGCTTTATTCAAAATGGAAGCTCTGGTTGCACGTTTTTCATCTTGAAAACGCCTCGGATCTACTTTCCTGCCTTTCGGCTGGTCGAAATTATAATAATCCTGATACTTTCTACCGTACAAACTTGTTGGAAGACTCCTTTGAGATCTACCTGTATCGAGGTGAATGGTTCTCTCAGTAATTGCACCTTCGTGATCTTCCTGTAAAATGCCTCTGAATGATTTCAACACAATTCCCGTTTCATTTGATAATTGGATTTGGTCTCTATCTATAACACTTTGATCTCCTTCATCGTTCACCCAGTTTTGATGCTGTGTGCCTTCGGTTCCATACCCGTCGTCTCCGATGTTCGGAGCGGTGTTCTGAACCTTCACATCCCAACTCACTTTGCGTTGACGTCCGTCGAATTCACGTATATGTAACGTCTGTGACTCACTGTTAGGCACCGTTAAAAATGTTGTCCCTTTGGTACCATATCCTGCGTCCTTGACCGGATTTGTCTGCCCTGTAGTGTTCACCTGACCTGAATGGTAGGCCTGGTTACCTGGATCCAGTAGTTTGACCTGATCGTTTCGATTGGCTGAAGCACCGTAGCCCTGAGAGACCTGTACGCCAGGGTCGACCTGACCTTGACCTACATTGTCTGCTTGACTGACGACCCTAACGTCTCGGCTGATTTTTCTCCCGGGCGTCTCAAATTCCCTTATATGGAAGGTCTGGGGTTCATCTGATTTCTCTTCCACCATCTCGACCTCCCCTTCAGACACTCCCTCCCCGCCCCCGTCGTAGATCAGCCTCCCCGTGACGTCCACCACCGCCATGCCCGGGGGACGCCAGTACTGCTCCTCTAGCATATAGTTGTCAGGGTTAAGAAGCTGACGCTTGAACACCACGTTGATGTCCTTCTTAGGAACGTCAGGGCCATTCTGGGGACAGAAGAAATACTTTTAGTTCCTTAAATTATAATTGTCAAGCTCGTTTTCCAGAGAACATGTTAATCGGTATTGTATTAGAATATACTGGACAAAAATAGTTGGGGATATATGTAAATTTTGAAATTATGAATAATGATCCATTTATTCATTGACACACCGATAAAATATCAATCATAAAAATACCAATATCCCTAACTTATTTTGTCCAGTATATATAAAATGAAAACTACATTTGTAAGACGACGTCTTTTACGACGTCATTGTCCGCCGTCATGGAGTAAGCAACGAGATTTAGAATATGCAGACAGCAGAGGTTGACATGAGAAAGTGAATGGGTGAGTTTTTCTTTCCACCACTTGGAACAGAATTTTGGTTGTGTCCTGGTATGTCAGCTTACTATGGTGAAAATCTCTGAAAATCTTATGAAACTCAAGCAACGGTAGGGTGATTCACACCTTGAATCGAGTTTGTGATTTGAGCCACGATTATCTCATCACACGAAACGATGAACTGTCCTTCATTTCGGCATGCACTGTATTTGTAAACAACACAAACAGCAATAACAACAATTGATTACATGATAGCACAGAAACCAAACTGCGTGTTCACGATAAACGACAAATAATAACAAAATGATAAATGTCACCAATGCAACAGTTTCTTACATTTCCATTTCCTCCCGTATGAATTCTTCAAGATCTTAAAGTATGCAAGCAAAGTCCCTTGTTAAGCGGTGACTTAATTCAGCAGAGAGACGAGGGTTTGTTTTCGAATATACTATAAGTTTCATAACATGCACTGTTTTTGTAATTATCACACAGCACCGTTTCAGGCATATTTCTTTTATCCCCTGAAGGTTCTGAAGTATACTCATGCCAATAATGGTTGTCACCCTCCCCACCCCAACCCCACACACACCTCACACCCCCTCTCCAATTAAAAAAATTGAAGGGGGTGACAACCATTATTGGCATGAGTATAGTTGGTATCTTGAAAAATCCATTCACACCAGATGTAAAACGAAGCGATCCAATATTTTCCTGTCCAATTGGGTCTCCCCACGAAATCACAAGTCGGATCCTTACGTGGTAGTATTACCATAGTCATGTAAAGTAAGTTAACGCAACGTTCAACATCGAACAGCGAGAACGATAACATGCTCCAGTTGGAATCCGGTATTCCAACACTTTATCGCGATATCATTTGTCATTCATGGTTTATCAGAAATTAATACTTTTATGCCCAGAAATGTGAATATTAAACAATTTAATCAACATTTCGTGCGACATTACCAAACAGCAGGAAATGACATTCTCCCGAGGCTATTAGACCAAATCTATCATTGAGGACAAATCACTGACGGAGAGGATAAGTGAGTATGTTCGGTTTAAGGTCCCTTTGAACAGTATTCCAGTTGTATACGATGAGTGAGTGAGTTTAGTTTTACGCCGCTTTTAGCAATATTTCAGCAATATCACATTGTACTCAATATGGGGAATCGAACCTGGGTCTTCGGCGTCACGAGCGAACGCTTTAACCACCAGGCTACCCCACCGCCCCTCTACAGGAGGGACGAAAGCTAGAACTGAGGCAGGTAACAGACGTTTACCACTTTAGAGAAACCCACGAGCATGGGTATCGCGCTGAAAAAAAATAAGCCTGGCCCGGATTCGAACCCAGAGATCTTAGGTTTCTGGCGTACTAAAAGGACAAACCTCTACACACCGAATTACTGCACTTTTAGACGACAGAACCACCCGTGTCCACTACAAGGGTGTAGCAGTTCCTTTGAAAAGACAATACGTACAGGAGAATACGAAGGTGACTCAGAAACTAATATTTGTTCCCTGATAAATCCATAAAAAGTTTATTGATCTGTATCATCAATTGTAGCTATGTAATGTGTATGACAAGTGGCTTGTTTTTAAATTTGGTGCTATGACGTTTCTCTTTGTAAATGATAAAGACACGAAGAAATGTGTACTTTAAGAAATTCAATTAAACTTTGTAAGCCTTTGGCAATTTATGAACATCAAATATCAATATAACACGCAACGCAACGGAAAAAGTTTCTTTGACTCCCACAGTCCAGAACATTGAAAAAAATCATATTATGAAATACGCTTCTCGAACGGTAGCTATGCTACGTTGTACACGTTAAGTCACAACCAATCCTGCCTGCATTAAATATACACAGACCTCTATGGAGACCACTTGAACACTCAGTGTGACTTCTTGCTCATAGTATTGCTGTGTATAGGTAAGCAAGATATTATCCATTAATCTCAAGTGTCTATATACATAATGCTTGTCATTCGGCGGCCTGTCCTGACACTCTTTATGCTGGCGCGTTTTGGTAAACTGTAAACAGCAAAGGTCGCTTTCGCTTTAGAATTGACAATCTTTATACACGAGGCAAAGAATTCCTTTTTATGTTCCCATTTTATGCATGGTTAGATAAGATAAAAACTTTTCAAACTACACGTTTTCGTGGTTGAACATAAATCACAGAGGGCGTCGGTAGGTTATTCATTGTGGAAAATATAATTTGGGAGTTCAAAGTTTCACTGTGTGTTTATTGTGGTAGAAAGATCGAGAATATATCGATTTCATTTATCGTTTGTGCGAAATAAAGAAGTTAGATCTGATAAACTGTAAATGATATATCGGATACCAACCCTCCCGTGGCCTCCTGTAGTTATGTCGGTTTTATAGGGCCAGACATCGAGATATCATACACCTTCCTCTTTGCGGCCAGACAAGCTTTCCACTACACCACAGAGGTAAACAGAGAGTCGAACCACATACCTTCCGCTCTCTGACCAGACACTTTATCCACTACACCACAGAGGTAAACAGAGAGTCGAACCACATACCTTCCGCCCTCCGGTCAGACACTCTGTCCTCTACACAACAGAGGTGGACTGGGAGTCGAACCACATACCTTCCACTCTCCGGTCAGACACTTTATCCACTACACCACAGAGATGGTATATCGGATACCAACCTCCCGTGGCCTCCTGAAGTTATGTCACTTTTCCCACTACACCACAGAGGTGGACTGGGAGTCGAACCACATACCTTCCGCTTCCGGTCAGACGCTCTATCCTCTACACCAGAGGTGGATCCACATACCTTCCGCTCTCCGGTCAGACGCTCTATCCACTACACCACAGAGGTGGACTGGGAGTCGAACCACACCTTCCTCCAGACACTCTATCCTCTACGGTCAGACAATCTGTCCACTACACCACAGAGGTGGACTGGGAGTCGAACCACATACCTTCCGCCTCCCGGTCAGACACTCTATCCACTACACCACAGAGGTGGACTGGGAGTCGAACCACATACCTTCCACTCTCCGGTCAGACACTCTATCCTCTACACCACAGAGGTGGACTGGGAGTCGAACCACATACCTTCCGCTCTCCGGTCAGACACTCTATCCACTACACCACAGAGGTGGACTGGGAGTCGAACCACATACCTTCCACTCTCCGGTCAGACACTCTGTCCACTACACCACAGAGGTGGACTGGGAGTCGAACCACATACCTTCCGCTCTCTGGTCAGACACTTTATCCACTACACCACAGAGATGGACTGTCGATCGGACCACATACCTTTCGGGCACTCTTCAGTTTCTCTTTCCAAACGTGTGTTAACTGGCTTTGAAAAAAAACTTAACTTACTGAGCTCCACTTCTAAACGACCGATTTACTTCCAATGCAATGTTGAATTAAAACTGATTGCATTAAACTAAACGTGTCTCAGCTAAGTTCATTTAAAGACTCAGCCCTTTTCAACTACCGCGCCAACAGGACGGAACTCATGCATATGCATGAATTAGAGGACTGAAGAGCTCTTGCAATAATGGAAAACCGGTAAAATGTGGTTTGGGTAATAAGTTACGTGACAAGATTGTTTGAATATTGCATGGATAGAAATTGATAAACGACAGCGGATAACGCCCGTGATATGCATTACAATATCCTGCTATTAAACCCCCGTCGTGATGATTGACGGCACACATTGCGAAATGACACACGTTGGTTTGTAATATCATGTTGATGCATTCTGGGATGGACAAAATGGAAATTGCATTTGAGGAGTCTTATAATAGATCTTGTGTGGAACTCGAAGTGTTGTTTCTTTTCTTTTTTAAAAACCCAAACTTTTATTGATTGTGACTCTCAGGTTTCAGGTATGTTGTCGCAACTTGTTTTATGCCGCACTCGTTTTGTACCATTATACTGATGCATTCTAGGATGGGCAAAATGGAAACGGCATTGGAGGAGTCTTGACAATAGATCTTGTTTGGAACTCGAGGGGGTTTCTCTTAAAAAAACCCGTCTTATTGCTTGTGGCTCTCTGGTTTCAAGTGTTTCGAAAATGAGTTGTTTTACAAAGCAATATTTAAGCTGTATGATGGCAAATTGTACATAGTCTTGTCAGCACTAAGGCAAACCAATGATTGATGTCATGAGCAACAACACGTGATCTGCAACCAACCAAACCCCCGAGCCTGGTGTCATCGTATCCCAATTGTGTTGATCGATACTCATGCTGTTGATCACTGGATTGTCTGGACCAAGCTCGATCATTTACAGACCGCCCTCACACAGCTGGAATATTGCTCAGTTCGGCGTTAAACAGCAACAACCAACCAACCAACCGAGCCCGGCCACGAGATCCATTTAATTGCTTCTTCTCACGACCAGCATTATTGGAGGTTTTGGGGTGAAGGGAAACAATGTTTTGGTATGGACTACTTCCTTGTTTCAATAGATGCGACGTTTCGGTGTAGATGCTTCTTGCTTGATAACGGCGTCAGCATCTACACTGAAACGTCGCATCTATTGCAGTAGAGATGTTGTCAGTCTATAAACATTGGTCCTCTTTGTCATACCAGCTGCCTAATGCCACATAAAGGTTTTGGTGTGCGTGGCAGTTCTAACGCACAGTCCCCACATGGATGTGGGTTTAGTACA